TCTTAATAAACTGAGCAAATAAGAACACCTGGAGAAGTGGAAACCTGGACACAAAAGTAAAAAATTACAAAACAATGTGTAATCCCTGCTGATAATTCAACATACATTCAACCCCTAATAACAAGTGCTTGTAGTCTACAAAAGTTAAACCTGCTCCACAACATGCAAAACCATGCAGAGTATCTAACGTTAGTGCATTGACATACAACTAGGGGTAACAAGTAGTTAACTTTAAGTGAATCGACCCTTTATGACCTGGGTCGAGCCAGGAATGTATTCCAGAGGCCACCCTACCGGGAAAGATTTCTTCTGACACAGCTGCTCCTCCCAGAACATGTCTGCGCTCCAGCAGCGCTGTCTTCAGTCCTCCCTTCTGAAGATAGGCAGCCTACACACACACACACACACACACACACACACACACAACAAACGTCACTTTTACCCTGTTGCTGAACCATATAATGTATTACAGAATACTTTAGGTATTGGGAAACAAACGCATAACTTACTGCCACCAATCCATTGTGTCCTGCAATGAAATTTAACATATGTGTCAGACAGTTTTCCGAAAAACGTAATTTCCCCAAAGAGATGACTTAATCTTCTAAAATGAGCACTTTTGCAAACTTAGCTGAAACGTTGTATCAATGTTGCAAAGTTGCATGTCGTACTGTAGCGTGGCCGCTGTGTTTTCTGAGTTTATATTGCTACCACTTCACAGATCTCACCTCCTCCGATTACCAGTGCATCATACTGGGATTTTAAAGCGGTGTGACTGGATCTGGATCTCGTCACTGTCCCCATAACAGTCACAATCCTCGGTCCTCGACCAGTCCACATTGCTGCAGCCATGGCAATAGTTTGAGGCAAGAACAGTCCCCTTTTTCCCTCAAGCCAGCCGAGACATTTTTGCGGTACGCGTATAAACTAGGCATTACGGTAAGAGCGTGTATGAACTGACTTCAACATACCGGAACGGTGGACGTGATAGGACATGACACAGTCATTCAATACGTCAAAATATGAATAAATAAATAAGACAAAATTATAATTGTAAAAAAATATAATAAAGACCAATATGACTTCAAAATGACAGTACACTACATCACATTCCGCAACTTCAAGGTTACACTAATTGACTAGTTTCACTTGGGGTCGGTACCAGGCCACTTTAGAGAATATCAGGACGTTCTTATTTAAAATTTCAGAATTAAAGCCCTTTAAAATCTCAAAAAGGAGCTAACTTCCCTCTAATTTAAAAGGAAATAGCCCATGTCACAAACTCATTTTTCATATCAGTCTTTGGAAATGTATTCTTTATTAATATATTTGAGCAAATATTCACATGGTTGGAATTGCATTTTTCCTTGACACACAGTTTGCATGCTGTAATTATTATTGTTAAATTATCATTCATTCAATGTATAATTTTGTTTTTATTTATTTTATTTTATTTATTTCTGTTTATTTATTTATGTTTTTAAGTAAAAAAAATAAATAAAAAGAAAATTAAAAGATAT